ATTTCAGTGGGCAGTTTGAAGGTCATGATGAAAAGTTATGCCAGATAGGTTTGAATTATTTGTAAATCATGACAGTCATCAACTCCTAGCAACATTTTCGACAGAGTAGTGAAAAGAATTATCAACAGAGCTGTCCAAGAGTCAATGAGCACTTGCAGAGAGCTACAGAAAGACCAGGAATCAGCAGGTACGAGTGTTTCAAAGAAAACAGGAAGTAACGCTGCCATGGGCTGCATGCACACGAAATACTCCACTGCTGACGAAAAAGTATGTTAAAGCACATTTAAAGATTGCTGAACAACATTTAGACAAGTCTGTGAAATACTGGGAGAATATAGTCTGATCATAGAATATAAGTTTAACTGTTCTCGTGCCATAATACACCCCATGTTCGGAGGTCAAAAGGCACCCCCAAAAATACCATATCAACAGTAAAGATTGGAAAAAGGAGCATCATGACGTGGAGCTGTTTTTTATAATATGGCACTGGTATGTTTCATGTAACTGAAAGAAGGATTTATGGAAAAATGTACAAGACATTCTTGATAAAAAGAAAAGAAAAAAGAAAAACAGCTGCTGTGTACAGCAGCAGGATGATGAAATTGAAACGAGAGTGGACGTTTCAGCAAGACAATGATCCCAAACACACAGCTAAAGAAACTCTCAACTGGCTTCAGCCAATCACCTGACCTGAATCCAACTGAAAATCTTTGAAAAGAAGTAAAGCTCAGAGTTTGTAGGAGGGACCCACACAACCTTCAGGATTTTACAACTGTGAGGAAGAATGGACAAAAATCACACCTGAGCAACGCATGCCACTAGTCTATATGAAGGAGGCGTCTACAAGCTGTCACCAACAAAGACAACCTTGTACAAAGTTAATTTCAATAAGTGCATTCAATACTTTTGTTCCTGTGTCATTTCTCACTATTACACAAAACTTAATTCATGAACATCTATGCTTTGGTTAATTTGCATGTGTGGATTGGATGGGTTGTTACCAACATCTGGTGAGAATTTCATGTCAAGAGGACTTTTAGAAATATATTTACTTAAAAAATTGCTGACATGTTCAATAAGTACTTACCTGCTGTGCATATTTCAGAAGCTGCAATGTGAAATAAACAAAGACTCTACAAGTAATTAGAATTTTGGCAACGCTGCAAACAGTTTGATAAAAGTAACCCAGTTCAACATGAGAAAATATTCCATAATACTACAAAGTGTAAAGTGTTATTGATAGTGTTTGTGACAATGTTGCTCTTTTCACTACAAACTATTAACTGAAAATAACTGGTTCTTGGTGAAGATATGCTGGGAACTGACAGGTTCTGACAATGATTTACTAGATCTGTTTTAACCAAGGTCATTTTAGGTGAAGTGACAACACTTAGCAAACATTCAGAAACTAAGTGCAAACAGTGTCATCTAGTCCAAAAAACAACTTTGAAATTAAAAACCAATCCAGAGAGATCTTTTTACAGTTTAGCTACTGTAAATTTATTTGGTGATGCAGAAATGAGAACGTATACGAACTCTGAAAGCTTGTGAGTTTATACGTACACTGGGATCAACACCAAGGAAAGTTTAAGTAAAAGACGTAAAGAAGGCTGAAAAATACTGGCTCATGAAAAGAGCAGCAACTACAGAGATGATTACCATGATTTGATAACAAATTAATATCATCTCAATGAGGCTGACAATCAATTGTACACAGACACCAATATTTGTGTCTGTGTGGCGATCGTGGCTCAAGAGTTGGGTGTTCGTCTTGTAATCGGAAGGTTGCCAGTTCGAGCCCCGGCTTGGACAGTCTCGGTCGTTGTGTCCTTGGGCAAGACACTTCACCTGCCGCCTACTGGTGTTGGCCAGAAGGGCCGATGGCGCGAGACTCTGTCAGTGCACCCCAGGGTGGCTGTGGCTACAATGTAGCTTGCCATCACCAGTGTGTGAATGTGTGCGTGAATGGGTGGATGACTGGATGTGTAAAGCGCTTTGGGGTCCCTAGGGGGGACTAGTAAAAGCGCTATACAAATACAGGCCATTTACCATCTATAGGCTTTGTTAACTCAGATGGTGTAAGTTTTAGGAGACTAGGGCGCCATGGTGTGGTGTTGTGCAGTAAGAACATTGTGCAGTAAGAACATTCATACATTCAACATACTGTCTGATCTATCATCAAGTAAACCAGAGGTGTCGAACTCCAGGCCTCGAGGGCCGGTGTCCTGCAGGTTTTAGATATCACCCTGCGTCAGCACACCTGAATCAAATGATTTGTTCATTACCAGGCTTCTGGAGAACTTTGAGACATGCTGAGGAGGTATTTTAGCCATTTAAATCAGCTGTGTTGGATCAAGGACACATCCAAAACCTGCAGGACACCGGCCCTCGAGGCCTGGAGTTCGACACCTGTGAAGTAAACTGTCACCAACTAAACCAGAAATCTACAAATCTATTATTTGACCAAGATGGCGCTAGAGTGAGCTGCAGCGTGGCCTTTTTATGTTTCAGATATGCAGTTTTAAGTGTTACCTTAGTTATTTACAGCTACCAGCAGCATTTCCTGCAGAAAACTCCTTTCCTTGCAACGTGTCTTGAAGCTAACTTTTGTGAACTTCCATCAAAGCATGGAAGGTAAGGGCAAACTTCCATTGTCGATGACTTAACAGCAAACATGCAAACTGAATTATCAAGAGAAAACAAAATGAAACATTAGTATGAATCATTCTAGCTCTTGTGGGTCTAACCACTGAGGGACTTCTCCAGCACACTGATCTAGAGTGGTAAACCAGCTAAACCAAAAAAACCACTAGTGAACTGTTTCTGTGTGAGGTGGAAGATAACATAATCTGTGTCTTAGTCAACACGTTCAAAGCTAAAAAAAAATAAATCAAAGTATGGATCAAAGAATGGATTACTTTGATTACTTACCGGATTATTGTAAGTATTGCAGCAGTACAGCACGGCAGAGATAAACGGATATGAACATTCACACCAAAGTATAAGAAATCTGCAAAACTGCATCTATGAAAGAGACAAACATTGTTTGAGGTTATTGCTTCCATCGATGTGTGGTTCACTGATACAGGCACTTCCCAGAGAAGCGACCAGAGGCCAAAATGGGTGACTGTTACATTTACAAGAGTCTAACTTGTAATTTGAACAAAATAATTTCATGTTTCTATCATGAACAGAATTAAATTGTGAGGGATCTGCATAAAATTCAACAACTTAATTTATTCTAATACAGCCTTCGTTCTCACAATATGATACAATTGATTGTCCCAAAACACAGAACAGAATTGGGGAAAAAGGCTTTTAAATACACTGCCCCTGCTTCCTGGAATAATCTGCAGAAGGAACTGAAATGATCAGAATTGGTTACCTTGGGAGAGTTTAAGTCTGTCTTAAAGGAACGAGAGAACAGCTCTTTTACTCAGTGTGATTATTTTTAATGTACTCTTAATTTGATCTGTTATTGTATATTTTACACATGTTGGTATGGGATATTGTATTTGTTTTAAATGTTATATACCTATGTGGTATGTGACTTTTGTTGCCATGATGCCAGGTCTCTCTTGGAAATGAGATTTTTAATCTCAATGAGATTTTTTACCTGGATAAATAAAGGACTAGTAAAATTCTTTTTGAGATGACATGATGCCATCTAGCAAGAATGGTTAGGCGCCTGGACTGGAAATTCCCGAGATCACATGAGATTTTAAAGTACAGGAAAATAAGTGGGGTTATAAGAGGCAGAAAAGCATACACACACCACGTGTATGCTATTGCTATTTATTTTGGTTTAATGCAGTTGGGTTAATTAGTGATGATTCTAAATTACCCGTAAGTGTAAATGGTTGTCTGTCTCCTTACTGTAAAGATAAGAGGATGGATGGAGTGAAGTCACTCCATCTATGAGTAACTAAATCCATTAAAATTTTATGTTACCAAGACTCTACACTTTGTTGAACACTGCAAAAAATAAATTAACTTAAAATAATCATAGAAAAGATTTTCACAAATGTCTTTCCATTAGCATTAAGCATTTTTGTTGCACTAACATAATTTGCATGGGCTGGATCCACAGAGTTAAACAGAGTTGGACTCAACTGAGGTAAATAAGTTGATTCATTATTAATTAAGTTGGTTCAACTCAAGTACATTAAGTCAGAATAACAGAATTGCATAATGCTAGAACAAAGCAATTTAATTACATGGGAACCCTTTCCATTGTTGCTCTATGTTCAAATATATGAGAAAATACACATTTGGTTATTTGATTTCAATAATGTATGCAACCATTTCCCCTCTCTTTTACACAATCTCCAACTTGCTCTCAAAAGCTTGAAGCTATATCAGTGTTTATTGATTTATATTTTCCTCGGGGAGGGTTTTGGAGAAAGCAGCCATCTTTTATATTTTATGATTTTCTTATGGTTTTCAGTGATCGTATCAAGCTCCATTAAGACCTTCATTTGGAAGTCTGAAACAACCAAACAAACATGAAGTATTTCAAACATGAAGCTTTGGCAAACCTGTAGGGATTACACATCTATGCCTGTGCTGTGCCGTGTGCTTCATGTTAGAGAGATCAATCGTAGCCAGGAGAGCACCAGTCCATCTCCTATGTGGGTATGAGTTTCTGTGAGTTTGACTCTAATTATGTGTTTTGTTGTATGTATATCGTCATAAGTCGTGTTTTGTGAGTGTTGTTGCTCATCACAATAATCAGATAGGATCATGGAGTTTTTAAAAACTGCAGACCTACTAGTGCACTCTCCTTGGCATATCAAAACACTAATATGACAAATATTTTATATTAGACGTACTGTCCCGTCATACGTACTAAATATACTAAAGTAGTGCGCGGTGAGCGTATTCTGGGGAACCTGGACGATGGTATTCGAACGAAGGCGGAAGTTAGTAACAGTGAATCCTCTTGCATTCGTTTTTTCGTCTGTCGTCTTCTCGCGATATTACAGTAGACTGACCCTGGTTATTGCAGAGTTGAGTCTCTACGGTAACATAAAAAAGCAGTGCCGACGAGCTGCGGTACTATCGCTCATACATTTCCTTGTCCTGTTGTTATTGAGACCTGACAAACCAGATCCTGCGCGTGCTGTGTTGGACGGTATCATTTTGTACAGGTGAGCGGCTTCGGTTTATTTATTATTATTATTATTATTATTATTATTATTTTTTTTTTAAACTATGTGCCCTGTTAAATAACTGCACAGGACTGACACTCATTATGATTTGAGATATAGCGTGACAGCGAGCGGGTTACATATAATGTTAATGCACGTCAGCTGGAAGCGCTTATTGCGTGACATCGTGTTGAACTTTCCTCTGGTAAAATCAACATCAGCTTCGTTGTTAGATTTTTATTGTGTTATCAGGGTAAAGTTCATATAATCCTTCTTGTGTAAATAGTCTTTTAACTTATCGCAGATATATCAGAGTGATTATCTATTATGATCATCCGTGTTGGTTGTAAACTTCTTATGCAAAATGCTGTGTAACAGTGACTGGACCTAAAACACTCATGTAAGGAATGATGTCACTGCTCTTACTTCCAGATAAACTCTGGACAATGGTTCTATTATGCAATCATGTTGCAACACCTTTTAAAGTTCCAGTTGACTTTTGATCGCATGTAACCCTTCATGTTGGGTATTTTGCTCACATGGTGTAATGGATCTCACTGCTGATTGTATATGGTGTTATTACTGCTCCTCCAGACACTGAAGATGTCCCTGTCTGGCTGGGTATGCGTAGTAACTGGTGCCTCCCGGGGCATTGGCAGAGGAATAGCTCTCCAGCTGTCTGAAGCAGGAGCCACAGTCTACATCACAGGACGCCAGGAGAAGACTCTGAAGCAAACTGCTGCACAGGTGGGCTTTTAACGCTTGGAGTCTTCTAATAATTAGACAGGGAGGCATTTTGAAATGCAGCTTATTGCATCGTGGCTTTCATTTGTGATTAGTGGAGTAAGTTCCGAAGTAAAGCAGATCCTCCCCTCATGTCACATATCAGTGTTGCAGCTAAAGTGTTGGCTCATTCTGCTATGTTATTATTTCTTCACTGTTGACACAGGTGACGGAAAGGGGTGGGAACTGTGTACCAGTTATCTGCGATTCCTCAAAGGAGACCGACATTCAAGAACTGTTTGAGCGAATTATACAGGAACAGAACGGCAGACTGGATATACTGGTTAATAATGCCTATTCTGGAGTACAGGTTGGATCACTAATGCTTTATCATTTCCTGGTACAATCATTTCAGAGGCACCTAATATGGAGTAAATCTGCGTGAATGAAATGAAATGTGTGCTTTACTTTAACAAAACATGTGGTATTGTTTCAGGATATCTTTGAGAACATGGGTAAGAAGTTCTGGGAAACTGAGCCCTCTATTTGGGATTCCATCAACAACGCAGGCCTCAGGTACTGTGTGCTTGGGTGTTTAATCATGAGATAACTCACTCATTGTGAGCAAACGGCATCCTATCATGTGTCTAGTAACAACTGGCCAATACACAGATGCTAGAAAAGTTATATATTAATATTCTTAATAATATTTGCAGGTAAATGAAATAAGTATTTGATCCTCAAACAAAACTTGAGTACTTGGTGGAGATATCCTCGTTGGCAAGCACAGCAGTAGGATGTTTCTTGTAGGTATTCACCAGGTATACATGCATCTCAGGAGGGATTGTGGCCCACTTCTCTTTACACAAATGACTTCTGTTTGGAAACTCAGAGCTTCAGCTCAGAGATCTGGCAACTAGCTAAGCCACTACATGACCTTAATGAGCTTCTTATTTAGCCACTCCTTTGTTGGCTTGGTGGCATTTGGATCATTGTCATGCTGGAAGACCCTTCACGACCCATCTCCAGTGTTCTGTCTGAGGAAAGGAGGTTCTCATTCAGGATTTTACAGTACACAGTCCTGTCCATTGGCCCCTCATTGCAGTGAAATTGTGTTGCATGTTTAGCAGAAAAACAGCCCCAAAACATAATGTTTCCACCTCTGTGTTTTTGACCATTGGTCACCATCTCTTTGGGTCATATTCATTATATTTCTTCCTCCAAACACAACGAGACCTTAAGTTTTGGTTTCATCTGACCACAGTACTTCCTCCAAGCTTTATTCGACTCATTAAGGGCCTGTACATGTGCATTCTTGAGAAGGGCAGATTTCAATTCATTACAGCATAGTGTGTTACCATTGGTGTTCATGGTGCCTTTTGAGATGATCCACTACCCCCCACCCCCCACCCCATCATCATCCTCTTCCCATGAAGCAGGATCCTGAATGGAGCTCCAGACTCAGGGCTACTGAGGGTCATTTTTATTTCTTTATTTCCAAATAATCACACCAACAGTCATCACCCTATAATCAAGCTTCTTGCTGATTCTTGTTGCTCATTCCAGACTTGTGCATTGTCCCTGATGTCCTTAGACAGCTTTTTGGTCTTGCCCACGGTAATAGACAAGTTGCAATGGAAGAAACAGATTCTGTGGACAGGTGTGCTTATACGCATAAAAAGTTGAGATCAGAAGTAACTGTAATTGATTGATTGATGAATTGATCGATTGTAATTTGTGTGCTACATGGGCACAAGCAAATTTGTGGGCGACAGAATTCTGGCTGGATTGTTGTGGATCAAACACTTGTTTCACTCACTCAATTAGCTCCAAATCAATTTATAACATTTAGGTAACGTCTTAAATTTTTTGTTTTGTGTTTTTTTTCTGGATTTTTAACATTCTGTCACTTTCCATTAAAACAAAACTACCATACTGTTCAACTCTTTGGAAGTGAGCAAACTTACAAATTCAGCAGGAGATCACATGATGCACACAATCCAACCTAGAAAATGTTTTGAAATAAAGTAAATGGTAGAAATATTATATGACTTAAGTTTTTCTACATCTGGCAGGGGGCACTATTTTTTCTCAGTTTACGCAGCCCGGTTGATGGTGGCTCAAGGTCGGGGTTTGATAGTGACCATTTCTTCTTTTGGAGGGATGCGGTACCTCTTCAATGTGCCATATGGTGTTGGTAAAGCTGCTGTAAGTTGTCTTCTTGATCAAGTATAACATGTGTTACTGGTATTACTTTCTGATTGTTTTAAAGGCCTTTATTTTTTGTGGTTTGTTTCCAGTGCGACAGACTGGCATCAGACATGGCTATCGAGCTACGCCGCAGAGGTGTAGCTTCTGTCAGCCTGTGGCCAGGAGCGGTAAAAACAGAACTGGTGTCTCAGTTGATACTGGCGAAAGAGTCACCGTCAGGTGACCAGTCTAAGGTAGATTCCCTGTAATGAAAACTCCTTTTTGTGGTTGCTGCTTCAATTGTAAGCTAAACTTGTGTTTTTTGCTTTTTTTCCTCCCCAACAGTTTAAAAACGTTTTTGCTGACGGAGAAACCACAGAACTGAGCGGGAAGTGCATTGTTAACATGGCAAAAGGTACAACTTCAGAAATTGGTGCTCACCTCACAGTGAGACTGTTAAATAGACACCAACACCCCCATGATGGACATTAAAATGTCTTTCTGGGAGTTATTGTTTCTAAGAAACAGATACCTTAAGTATTTTGAAAATGCTTTTTTAAGTGCATGCAAATAAATCATATTTTGATTCCCTTTTTGCCCGACAGATAAAAATCTGATGTCACTGACTGGGAAAATACTCATGACTTCTGATCTGGCAAGACGCTATGGAATAAAAGATGTCGATGGTAAATTTGTGATTTCTTTTTTAAGATTTGAATATCTTAAACTTCACTACTTGACGCTTAACAAATCTATTACGCAAGCTTTATGTCACAGTTGCTCTAACATATCAGTACTGGTAATAAGCAAAATAATTTTGAATGTATGGTTAATCCACCAGTGTGCACAAGCTCTTTAATCTAAATTATATTTGTAATACTAAAATATAATTATTGTTGTTGTCCATTAACTTTCAAGTGTACTGTTTTACAAAAATCAGAAAAAAATGTAAAGCACATTATTATTTTTTGACTAACAAGCCAAATTAGTTATTTACTAACATCCTTAAACGGGAAAATTAGTTTTAGTGGTTGAATGTTATGCTTGATTCATTTCTCAGAGAAACCCAGTGTAGCGGCTCAAATTTGGGAATAAACACGTGAATTATTTTGTTATTTTCTTAATAGATACCATAATTTATTTGTTTTAAGCAAGTTTTAGACAGACTTTTAAATATTGGTGGTCTAATAAAGTTTAAATCAGAACCGTACTCTGAACTTATTGTCTGCTTACCCACAGGTCGAAGTGTAGCTGATTACACTTCGATTAAATACCTCCTGTCCCAGGTCCCGTACCTGTCCTGGCTGTCGGTTGTCGTGCCCTCATTCGTACGTGTGCCACGCTTCGTGATGACCCTGGCATTCAGCCGGTTCTAAAGTTTTCCTACATAAACTCTCTAATGGCAGTGTTGTCTACAGTTGAAGGGTGACGAAAGACTTAAGATGAGCACTTTTTTTAAAGGAATGTTTATCATTTTACATATGTGCACACACACAAACACACACCCCTGTGTAAGTACTTAATGACTGTGATTCTGTGGTGGTGGAGGTAAATGAAGTAAATACAAAGGATGTCTCTGTATAATTTTGCTCAGATGAAGACACAATGTGAAAACCTGAATGTATTATTATAACTACATATTATGTTTTCTTATATATTACGAAGCTACGAATGATATTTCAGAAACACAAAAGTGTATTTTGCACTTATTTTTGCATTTTATAAAAACTGTATTACGTATTCTGGACACACAGTACTGCTAATACTGCACCTGGCTGGCTAAATAACAACCAGTTAAATAAATGAGTGTTAACCTGTTGTTTTGTTTTTTCAAAATATCAAAATTGAAAAAAATCTAAATTGAAGATTTTTTTACTTTGCAGACATTTAAAAGAATGAAGGCTTAAGTTATCTTGGCTTTACTTGTCAGATCTAGCAGTTATGCCCATCTTTTATAATATTCATGCTTCCAGGTCTGACAAGTGAAGCCAATGTGGAAATGCCTTTCTTTCTAATAACCAAGAGGGGGCAACTGTTACATGTAGAAAAACAAGACCTCCTGTGATATTCTATGGTAATACAGCCATTATTTCCCTTGCTCTGTGCCTATGTCAACACTCTCATGGTCCCCAGTAGAATCACAGAGCAGGACAAGCTAGTTTTTAAAATGTGATTGACTCGTCATTAGCCAAAGAACAAACAATCTCCCTAAATTTCACAGTCAGATCCATCCTGTGCTCATGATACCTAGAAATGCACAGCTTGAGATTTCACAGCAGGACTTCCCTAAGCAAGGACTGATACCACAGAGCTATGTACTTCCAACTTGTCTGCAGTTGCAAGTATCACAAAGATGGTTTTGAGAATGTTGAACAGTGTTTCTGTGAATTTCATCTGTGGACAGACTTTGTTAACACGACAGCGTTACAAGGTGAAGTCACAAAACATGAGAGGTGTGAAACGTGACAGATGTTCAGAGATAAGTGTAGACCATGAACTCAAGAAACACGTGTACATGAGTAAGATAAACCCTTACTTCTGTTGTTAGCTTAGGAGTTCACACAGAGCCACTTAAAAAAAAAACGAAATCAAGTCTGTGCAATGCAAGTTGTTGTGTTTACTAAATATTAAATATTCAGTGAACTATTCTACTTCATTTCTCTGTGTTTCGTTAACTTGTAAACTCCCAGATGGCCAAAGGTAAGGATCCTAAATAGTTTGTAAAACCAGGATCAAAGAGCCGGTTTCTAACAGGAGTTCTTGGAAGAGAAAACAACAACAAAAAGATGCTGACGAGCAGTACTCCAAGTCAGGCGGGGAGATTTGATGGATGACCAAATGATCAAATTTACCAAGATGACTGTAGTCGGAAATCACATCAAATTTTTGTCGGCCGCTTAGGACAGCGGGAGGGCGGAGGGGAGCTCTGATGGGTGGTTGACGTGAAACCGTTTAGCCTACTGTTAGTGATATATTATACAGGCGCTTCCTCCCTCCAATCCAAGGCCTGCTTTTCATGGACTGGCACACCCACACCCCGCCGTCACTGTTGGAGAGTCAGTTGGGCCTTCTGGTCTTCCTGGTCCTCAGCTCCGCCTCGCCTCGATCTGGCCGGACAGGGGAACCACTTCACAGTTAAAGAACAAAAGCAACAACGGGAGGACCGAGTGGCACGAAATAACGGCGGCTCGGATTGAGAGTCTCACGGATTGGAGCTTTGTGCCGTCTTCGGCAGGAATTAAACGACGACTGAACTCCTAGAAAACGCGACAAACTTGGTCGCCTCGGATCTTTGTATCCTGACCGTAATCCGTCGAGGTGCTTGATAAATAAGACAAGGGTCAAACAAACGGACGGACGGTATCGTTTCCCAGCTCTGCCTTTAAACTTCGGCCATATAAAGCGAGGTGCCAGGGGGAAACCTGATTTTCTTCGCTTTTCCTTTCGCTCAAACGGACCTCGGGAATAAAAAAAAGGCTTGTTTGGCATTTTTTGGTAAGTTTATTTTTATGTTTCACTGAAGCGTGTCTGACGACGAAGTGCGCCTGTGCAGTGTGAAGCGTTTTAGTTAGTACGCCATAAAGAGGGGGGGAGACGCTGGACTGCTATTGTAGCTGACACCGTCAACATTTTTGAACTTTTGGAGCTTTTTGTTCCGCGAAAACAAAAACATGGTGTATAAACTCCCAACGGTTTAGCGGGTGAGGGGATGAGTAAGACATAAAATAATAATAATAATAAAAAAGATTGTGGGGGTCGCCACATGATCTCATCCCCGTGGGTTTAGTCTACCACCAATGAGTAATCCAGTGATTTCATAATTGTTAGCTAATGTTTGTGTTACACTTCAGCATTTCTTTTGTGGTTCAGGCGACCTAATCACCGGCAGTGGCGTAACCTCGCAACTAAATGCGCAACTATTGCTCTTCCAAATAAAGATTAGAGCCTTTTAAATTAAGAGTAGCCTTCATATTATGAAACTGTACGTTGTGAGGTGTCTCCACCCCTGATTGATATAATTGAATAAAGACTACAGTGGGACAAAATGTCAAACAGTGGTCTAGCACTTATACTGAATCACTGTTTCATGTATGTAATAGAAGCTTTTGTGAATAGTTGGAAGCAACACCTGTTGCTTAAAAGCAATTTGCTATTAATGGTATTAATCACCTTAGAACTACTTTAACTAGGAATATTTGATTGTTAATAGTGTGCCTGGACTTAGACTCGAGTACGACAATGCAAATGTTTTGGTGGCTGCCTTTGTGAAGAGGCTACACTTATCTCTTCGAACTGAGAACTTGGAAGTGGAACAAAGCCTGAGTGGGAAGGGGCGAGAAAGCAGACTGTGATGGATTGCTCATTCTGCCCCCACCCTTTGCGGCCAGTCCCCCCACTCATACAAAACAAAAGTCAGCCATCACACTCTGGGGGAGGGGAGACCCAGTCTGGATAGAGTGTACCACTAGTTTCATTGAGAGTTCAGAATAAGGAGAGCAGGGTGGGGGTGGCAGCTGTCCCATAATTGACTTTGAGAATGAATGAGAACATGGCGATCTTAAAACATCCGAGTCTGTACTCTTGAGAGGACGTAGGCCTTCCTTTTGCGATGATCTTATCTTTAGTTTAAACAGTTTGGCGGCTGGAAAAAGCGCAATACTAAATTATGGTTTCTGATTCTTTTCTAGGTGAAAGCACACCTTTTGATAGCCCAGATGGCTACATACACTGAACATAACGTCAGACATGGACTACCTTTGGACATGAAGAAGATGCTAGAAGAAAAAGTAAAGACAGAATGTGAAGAAAACCTTGAATCCAAATGCTCATCCAAGGATTTGCGTGACTCTCCCTGCTCAGCTGAAAGTAACGCAAGTGGGGTGGCTAGTTTCACCACCAACCACAACTCAGTTGTGTGCCTGCCTCTAGTGTCAGAGGGACTGAAACTGGTATGGACACAGTCTGATCAGACCCGTGAACTCGACACCATCCCAGAGCTGGTCAAAGCCTTCAACTTATTTCCCTACCCGTCGTCTCGGGAGGTTAGCGCTCTAGCCCGGGTCTGTGCCTTGCCACTGGACAAAGTTAAAGTGTGGTTTATGGTGCAGAGAATTAAATATGGAATTAGCTGGTCCTCGGAAGAAATTGAGGAGACACGGCGAAAGCTGGCAGTGCCTGAGCTTTGTGATGACTCAATTGAAACAAATGAGGAAGACAAAATGAAAAACAACACAAGTTATGAGGAATTGGTAATTGAAGACAAGGATAGTGAAGAAGAGGAGAGTGCTCTTTCTAGCTACGCACCTCAGACAAACGGCCCAAAGTGTGAGTCACTAGATTCATACAAGCCAGCCAAATCCAGCACACCGTGTTTCAGCTCAACCCTCCCACCGCCTCAGGATTCGTACTTCTACCACCCACCAGCAGACACGCCAGCAGCCGATGTTTCCTTTGACCTTTCAGACTCTTCTCCACAACAGCACCGCCATGGACGCTACAAAAAGTCTAAAGCTCAGCTTGCTGCCCTTCGCAAAAGTTTTCTAAGAGAGAACTGGCCTGCAGAGGCAGAGCTTAGACGCTTGCAGGAAGAAACGGGGCTGAGCCGTAACGACATTCGTAAATGGTTCAGTGACAGTCGTTACCAGCTGCGCGTCGGTCGAGGAAGCCTGGCAGCAGCCCAGAACCTTTCTCAGAAAGCTGCTGTGGGAAGTAAACATGATCAACAGTCTCAGCCTCTTCCACTTATTACTCAAAAGTCTCGTCAGCTGAATGGGGCGAAAGGCCACGAGTCAGTACGTAGCAATGGGATTAGAAATTCACACTTCTTCCAGACCTTTTTGTCAAATAGCCTGGAGGTATTTGGGGAAAGGGTTCTTGAGGCACAAGGGCACGATGTTATTGAGGATCTTTCAGGGGAAGGAGACACTTTCAAAGATGAGGAACAGTGTGATGAACAACCCTTACAGTTGACAAAGACTTGCAAGATTGAGCCAGATGTTCCCCTGGAACCATTAAGTATATCCAAATACTCTCCTTATTCTTCCCCCTCAGACAGCCCACCATTGTCTGTCTCACCTAACAAACCATTTTCAAACAAAATCACCACATCAAAGAAGCTAGGCCAGTCAGCCAAAACCAGTCCCTCCACATCTACATCCCCTGCCCTCACTCCTGCTGGGCGACCAAGAAAGACCAAGGAGCAGTTGGATGTGTTAAAGCAGCATTTCTTGCGTTGCCAATGGCCTAAGAGTGAAGACTACACTGAACTTGTTAAGCTTACTGGTTTGCCGCGGGCAGATGTTATTCAGTGGTTTGGGGACACACGCTATGCTGTCAAAAATGGCCAGCTGCGCTGGGTGAAGGGGGTCCGTGATCAGTTCTTGGCAGAGCTGGCTTCCCAGCAAAGCAGCTGCGGTTTAACAAACGGAAGTGGAACATCCTCTCGGCCCGGGGGTAGCCGTAAACGAAAATCTCAAGCAAATGGAAGGAGTGCAGATTCCCCGGATATCCAGCCGTTGGTTAACTATTACCTTTCAAATGGCACACTACATGAAAAAGACCTTGATTCTCTATGCAAGAAATCGAGAATGAGCTACCAGCAGGTGCGGGATTGGTTTGCAGCTCAGGACGTTGGGGAAACTGAGCAGGAATCTATTGTTGTTACTTAATAACATTTCTACAAGTTGAGGTGCTCTTCAAATAATTCGCACCATGAAGCATAAATACTACTTTGGTTAATATTGCTTTAACTGAGCAGGTTTGTAACATTCAGTCTTCCCACTACAAGCCCAAAGTGAGGTTTGTGTTTTATATATGTGCTGCATTCCCTGCTTTCCCTAATATATTTGGACTTGAAATACCATTGTGCTGCCTACATTACTGTAAATAGCGCAGCAACTTGTACACTGGTTTGCTTTATTTTTTGAGCTTATTATTTTTGTTTAGATATCACTACAGAATTTCTAGTATATTATGTAGTTTTATAATTTAAATTGGTTGTACATTTGGTACCTGACTGTAGCAGACAACCTACTGCTCCATAAAATGTCTACATTGACAAATTTGTTGACTGATCACTGTGTGTAACCATTCCTTTATAGCCAACAAGTCCTCATCATGAAAAGCACACTGGACATGCACACTTTAAATTGACGTCTTGCACTTTGGTTTATGATCCTGCTGCCGTTATGTTAATTAAATCCAATTATTTTACAGAACATAAATTCCTAATTGTACAGTGTTGTTCTTGATACTTTTAAACTCCTCACTTTTCTTTTTAAGTTACAGAAAATACAGCTAAATTTAATGGCTACAGCGTATTTTTGAAACACATTCCTCAATATCCATTTAGTGTCTCTGCTGTAATTCTTAGTAAATAAATAGCTTGCATACAAGTGCACCTTTGTGACAGTAACAGTCAACAATACTAAGAAGCAGTAGACACATCAATGGCATACAAACACCAACCCACTCATTGATTCAGTTTTGGTTTTTTTTTTCTTTGGTTCCACCCCCCCCTATTCTGTCTTAGTAGTTAACTTTCAGGTTTATAATATAGACAAAAACAGTACTGTGTAATCCAAAGAAGTTTTGTTTTTCAGATAACATTATGATTCATAACCCAAACATTATCAGTTTGTCTTATC